ACATGGCACAAGTATATGCAATACGACAAGACAAGTTTGATGCAAGCTCATCCGTCAGATCAATCAGATAAGTGCGCGACTCAGTATACGATATTGAGCAAAGCAGATAGCAGGTACGCCATACGCGCGCGGACAATATACTGGGACGAGTTCGATATGAAGATTCATAGACTCGAATCGTCACATGCATATCCAACGCAAAGAATGCACGAATCTCAGCAACGTGAAGCGGCTGGCCTCATCTAAGTTCGTTTGTTGCAGCAACGTCTCTAGGTAAAGGCACAGTTTAGCAAGCTTGTCCTCGAAAAGGGGAACTGCCTGCCGAGGTTGCACTCGGGATTGAGCTTGCTCTTGCTTGACGTCTCTAAGGTGGAGTTTGACCCGACGGTCCATGCACGGATTAGACCGATGCGGAGCCCACTGATGGAAGTCCGCTTGCAAACGACCCACTAACGAATCAAGTAAACCCCAGGCTGCACGACGCGGGCACGCGCAGGTGTCCACTCGAGATCCAAAGAACTGGCAGCCAAAAACGTGGACAACTGTTTTCCCGGTAACGTGTTGATGCACTAAATATGCGACCACATGATCAGCGTGGCAGCTGTCAAGTGTCTCAGGAGGCTCGTAGTGCTGAAGGAACGCCAAAAACGTGCGCCAGTCACGCCACTTATGGCCCTCATAACGGCGCGATTGGCGGAGACATCGAAGATCTTCAAGGCGAGCTTGAATTGCGGCGAAATCAGGGACAGGGACCCGGGGGGGAAGGCTCACCTATAAAAAGCGAAAGTCCAGAAGAACCGCCCAGTGAGCAACAGGTGACGGCGGCAAGGCAGCAAAGGAACCGCCGCTCCTCCCGCGGCGCTCAAAAGGGCTGGGTGCGAACGGCGCAGACAGCAGCGTCCATGAGAGCGCGGCCTCCAATATGAGGGGCCACCAATACTGCCCCACGCGGCCCTGGTCGTATTGGGGAACAACCGTGACGGTCAACGAACGCTGGGAGCGAAGATATCCGAGTAGAGGGCCGATCAGGATGAAAGGCGGGTTTGCAAACGTGACCCCGGTAGTCGGAATAGGTTGGGCGAAAACATTTACGCCCGTGGACCCAGGACACGCATAGCGTGAAAAGAAAGGGATATCACGTCCATCAAAGCCCTGTTGCCGGTTGGCCCCCGAGGAAAGGAGGTCAATGAGGAAACCCCCATGCGCGCGATCAAGTTGCTGGAATAAAGCAGGCCGGAGGCGAAGAGGCGATTCCTCCCGGGAGATAGCATCAGCCACCGTGTTGAATTCGGATGCAATCCAGTGATATACAATATCGACATTGTCCGCGCGCTGTAAAAGGAAAATCAACTTGGCCACGTCCGTCATCTCCAAGCTTCGCCCTCCACCATTGATCAGGTTGTACATCGCTGACCGATTGTCAATATAACAATCAACCTGAGCACCAGCCAAGTGTTGCCGAAAGCTGAGGAGAACGTTGTAGAAAGCCATAATCTCGAGCAGGTTAATGTGAAGGCGCTGATCTGAAGCGGACCAGTCGTTCCATGCCCGGTACTCCAATGAACCGACGATGATCCGGCCCCCCCAACGACGCCCCGAAGAATCGGTCTCAATAGCAATGGTCACGTGTCGCTCAGAGCGCCACGTCTGAGTACCATGCCAGCAGCCGAGCCCCAACCACTCGGTGAGCTCCGACCTTAGGGGGCCAGCAAGCGGGATGTACCGTCTTCACGCCGGTTGCCAAAACGGCGGATGGAGCTGTAGATCACCCGAGTAAAGAGCATAGCGCCAGGAACCGCAATCCGAAGGGAAACGCACTTGCCAACAAATCGCTCAAGCGACTTGTACCCAACTGAGGTTGAGTCCAAGATGCTCCGTAAGAGTGCCAGAAATTTTTCCAACTTGGCCGGGGAAATTGAAAATGTGCGGCGGGAAGTATCAACTAAGAATCCGAGCCACTGGAGGATGGGGCTAGGGAGGAGGTGCGACTTCTTGAGGTTGACATAGTACCCCAGCCAAACGAGGAAGCTACAGACAATATAACAGGTAGAACCTGCCCGCTGATCCAAGGTCTGACCTTGTCGAGTCAGTAACGGCAAGTAGATCGAGTCGTCCAGATAGAACAAGTTCCGGATCCCCAACCGACGGAAAAACTGAGCCACCGCTCCCGATAACGTGTTGTAGATGAAGGGGCTCGCCTTCCAACCAAAACTGAGCGTCGAGTAAACATAGTAATATCCCTCATACTCGAAACCGAAGTATTCCTCAGATGCATCCGTCAAGCAGACGTGAACGTACCTGGCCTCGAATTTTTCAGTCCGTGTGTCACCATTGACACGTGGGGTGCTCGCCCGATATTGCCAGGTCAAAACGAGAGCGAATCGCTGTGGGCAACGCCATAAGCATTTCTGATTTGGTCGAACTGGTTCTGTTCATCGGTCTTGGTAAGCGGTCTCGCGAGCTGAACTGACCACTGTAAGCGTGCGGCAATTGTTTCGACCGCGCCAAAATGTGGAACAGTTGCGACCAAGCTTGTTCATCACGATGTCCGGATGAATGTGGCAAACGCGGGGACCTACCTCGAGTCTGTATTGTACTTCATAGATTTGAAGCAACTGCTGTTCTCTGGACGAGCTTTGCTTATCTTAGATTGAATCCCTTTCTTCTTGCCCAATGGTTTCGGAGGAATGTCGAACCGGAATGCCAACCAACCGTCTAGCGAAACCGTCTAGCAAAAACTGACGCAAATGCATCTTCTGCCTTGTCTACACAGACAAATACCAGAAAATCAATCTGAGCAGACACTCGAGGGAAAGACGGGCGAACAGCAGGGATTGTAAGTCTGTCGGCTCATACCTTCTGTTTCGTCCATTATGTAGAATAAGAACAACCCTTGATTGAAATGCGACTGTTCTCCCCGCCGATGTCAATGTAGTCCTTGTTCCGATCATAAGTCACTCGAACGGCCCACTCGCGAAAGGCGTCGCGGTCTTCTGGATCCTTCATGAATGACGTCGTGATGAGGTAGCCCTCGTCTAGCAGCTCCTGTCAGAAAAAAAAGGGCATGTCTAATGGTCATTCTGGTTTCCAATTACCGTTTTTCTGTATTCTCGTTTCCGCTCTCCCTCTGACTACTCTCCTTACAGCCTGTCCCGTTCTCCTAGTTGCCACGTTCAAATCACCAACCCCATTTTCTCTTTGCTTATGGAAATTCGTTATATTGGTTTGCAGGTCACGTTCAAACCGCATTCTTTGCTCCGCTTCTTGTCTCTCTTCATGGACTTTGTTGAGAATCTACTTTTCAGTGTAGCCTGATCAGGGTGCCAAAACAACTTCGCATCAATCTTGCTCTCACAAGCTACCTTGACACCAAGAACCACGATTAGATTTTCCACCAAACTCCAACAAGTTTATTCCAGTCATTGACTCCAAAGCCTACTCAAAGAGCCCTCGATTTCGTTTTCAGATTATTCTTCTGAGATCTTGGGGATGGGCAGACCAGGACACCATCAAATAAAGTGTCAAAGCTCAAGAAGGGGGCAGACCAGAGCGCACAGCATACCTGGCGACCAAACCTGACACCGTCATGGCGGAGCCAGCCGTAACCCGACATCTCGTCAGAGTCTTCGCATTCGTGCCGGGTCCGGTACATCTGTTTCGAGAGGGCCCAACCACATCAAGCCCGCGATGATAGACTTGGGAACCCTGCAGAATTGGGATTGAAATTCCTTTGCGCCACTTCTTTTATCTGACTTACATGTCATTGGCGCCACAGCCTTGAACCTGTGCGCCATAAGCTTCAATCCAACTTAAGGACCTGGTGAAAATCTGGTGCATCTCCCTTCTCTCTGTGGGGAAAAGCGCCTAGCCATGTCGATTTCAAGACACTGTCCTCTGAAAGCGAACCTCGAACCAGATGCCAAAACATTCACACGGCGCTTCTGCGTAGCTCAGGCTTCCCATCCGCCGTCGATTCAACTATTGCAACTTTCTAGCAGAATGACTGACCCACTCGTTTCCTCGTTTTCAGGGTCGCCCTGAGCCAACAGGAGATCAATTACAACAGCGCCAAGCGAAGGATCGCTGACCTGGAGGATCGAATCATCGCGCTCGGATCCATTCCGCCCGCGACCGCGTACGAGGAGCTATTGAACCCCAAACCCAGGCTCGGACACATTCCTCCATTCCGCACGGGTCCAACTGACTCGGGACTGCGCTTCTCGTCGGAGGTACTACAGCGCCTTCAAATCCGGCCTTTCGGGGGGAAACTCAAGTTGGGCCTCGCCCCCCGGGAACCGCCGTTCCCAAAGTCCTTCTCCGATGGCGCCAGGCATTGAGTCGTCCAGCTTCAACTTCCAGTTCGCGCTGGCTAGCCTAGACAGCCAGACAGCTCGATTGGGAAGCTCTTCCAGCAACCGGTCACTCCAGCGACCGCCACGTGGCATGACGCCACGCCGCCCGGGAAACACGGTTCGTCCCCTGACCATATAACCGCCCGGCCAGAGCTTTTACGGCCCCCGACCGGAGTGCCACGTCATCCCAAACCGCACGGACGTATTTCTCGCCCCCAAAGTATACCCCCGGTGGTGGCAACCGGTTACCGCGAGCAGATTGCCCTAGCTGGCTTTCGATGTCTCGAAGAGCACCGAGGTCACGGCCTGCAAACTGATCCGCGTTCGACATGAGCCGTGTGAAATAGGTACGTAGGTACAACCATGCAGGCAGAGTTGGCCTGGCAGATTTGGCCACCGGCAGGACTCAACCGAGGGGCGTCGGCCGAATACCTAACTGACGTTCGTGCAGAATTGAGCGGCGAGCCCAAGTTCTGACACAAGCCGACCGGTTCACGATCAGACTGGGGTTTGAAAGCGACGGATCGAAAAAACACGGAAGTGTAGATATCTTTCGGAGCTGACTCTGGATGACGAGCGCAGAATATCGACTAAGCGTACCGAACCGCGTCGAACGTTGAAACTGCTCTCATGCTGTTGCGCCAGGGCAAGAACATAGGAATCTGCCACGTGTAAAACATCTTAAGGAATGACGGTCGTCGATATCGGTTCCAGGAGTCACGGCCGTACACTGCCGAAGACTTTTATTATATAGATTTGGAAGGTTCCGCGTTGTGTACGCGCTCTTTTTAGCCCAGTGGGCAAAGAGTTTGGTCGGGGCTCGGACGGCTCGAGCCTCGAGGTCCAGGGTTCGAGTCCTGGCAGGAACGTCAGTATTCCGGGAGTCAACTTCTAAAAGGGATGTCGTGGACACGTGTCGATTTCCTATGTTCTTGCCTGTCGTGAACCATCGCAAGACAGCTTTGATGCAATTTGTCGAAAGCGTTACATGCGTTACATATATACATGTCAGTCTATATGATTATTCGATTTCGATTTCGATACACCATGTTTGACATATATAAGACAACTCTAGACTCGCCAGCTCGAGCCTGGCCGACTATTTCACACTCCGTGACACGTGTCGAGGCCTTAGCCCTCAGCCAAAGTGGTGTCAACGTAGCATGCGTACGGTAATGGAGTCTGGACCTGCGTGTTGTCATCGTTGAGCATTTTCGGTTTATGTTGTCATTAGTGGATTCGCCCCATGCCTTTGATACGCACGGGCTTTAAGAGAAGTATCCATTCTGCATCCGTGTTGACTAGTAGGGGGCCGGGGCCATGTTGACAAATGAAAGTGCTGTTGTGTTGGTGTAGAGGTTAGGGGTGGGTGCGGGTGTGCGACCCGTGATAGTTGACGGTTATGATTGCTGGTTGGGTTGCCCGGGGCTTCTGAATCTTAGGAGACAAGCCCCTTCGGGGACTGCTTCTGGAGGGCTGGAGCCTGGTACGTAAGAACTTGCGGCAACGACGGAGTGCATGCCACTTGGCAGCTCCTCATTCAAGACATGAACTTTCTCTTCGGTACTAGGAGTTCGGACTCCGGGAGACGACTGCACTCCGACCTCTTCTCTGAGCACTGTTTGAATTCTGCTCTTGGATACCGTATGCTCTTGATTAGTCAACAAACAAGAAGTACGTACGGTATATTTCGAAGTGAAGTATGAACCCTTCAGCGACATTTCGGTTGTGAACCTCGAGACCCCAGAATCTCTTCTGCAGGCTTCAGCCTTCAGTACTGTAGCTCTTTTCAAAGTAGTCAGCAAGCCAGCAAGCTTGCTTCTGTAAGGGCGTTCTCGTTGTGACTTGTAGGTAGTACCTAGACAGATTTTGGGTTCACTCTGTTGCCATCGCCATTGCCACCTGCAGAACCTCAATTGGACCTTTGGACAGGCTTCCTGCGCTTGTCCGTCTTTGTCAAACAAGTTTTGTCATGTACGACGCTGGAAGGCAGTAGAAGTTCTTGCTCTTGTGCCATTGCATCTTACATACAGCACAGCAAAAGATATGGCACGTATAGTGCCTGTCGCCGCCGCCCTGTGCGCTTTGATGGTCTTTCTGCGGGCCTGCCAGACAGAAGGTAAGCTCATCTAGCTCAATGCTCAATTTCTTGAGCCTGACTGCGCCTTTTGGCCTCCAATTGCCTGGTTGCTTTCCTGCCTTCATTGTTAGGAATGGGCTTCCATGCTTCTACAGCTATGAAAGTGTCAATAAATTATGCTTGTTGATTCGTGTAAACCTCTTATTGTCCGGTTGAATGCCAAAGAGGCTCTCAACCAGGGCAGCAGCTAATCATGGGCTACATCTTGAGACTACTCAGTTTGGGTCGCTGTTCAAGACTTTTTGCTTCCAGCGTTGAATTGCAAGCTTGTAGAGAGCTGTAACTAGCCAAAAACTTCAAGCTAGGAGAAAAGAGCTCTTGCTTTCCTGGTTCATGGAGCTCCAGGCCCTGCCCTGGTTTTCTTCACCTAGCCCCGTCCTGGTCTGCACATGTGGGGTGAATGTGCAAAAGCAGGAACTTTGTGATGCTTCTTCTGACATTGTAGATTGATGGAGATTCTCTTTGAGTACTGCATAATTGTAGACGGGCCTCCTCAGGTTGCAGCCTCTCGTGCTGTCTGGAACTCCCTAACCTGTGCAGCACACTGTTATCTGTGATTCCTCTTGCGGGCCAAAGCATTGACTGCCAAGGCAGGGAGCTTTTGCTGCAGGTTCAAGTGAAAAGGTGGTGTCAAAGCAATTAAAGTGTGACCATTCCGTCCTTTCTTTGCAGCGCAACCTTTCAATGTCACACTTGTAGCGCAACTTTTGAATGCCACATTTCCGAGTCCAGCAAATGCGACTTTGGCAAAGCCCAATACGACCTGCGTGGGATACACAGACCGTGCAAGCCTGCTGGCAAAACTCGACTCTGCGAGATCGGGGGAGGTTATTGTCATCTGCAGGTGAGACTGCGCAGCGCGGGAAGTGGCCATAGACAAGATGAAAGAACTTGTGAATGTTGTGACCTTTGGGGTGGGAAACAGCGCCTACAATCAGCTGAAGAAGCTAGTCAACGAAGTTCACACGGTCTGGTTGCAACGGCTAACTTAAGTGCTGGTAGCTGGAATGTTTTTTGTAAGATTGCCTCACTTTCGAATTCTTTGACTCCTGAGTCCCATCTTTAATCTTAGGAGCTGAGGAATCCGTTCACTCTGGAATCTTTGCTCTTTCTCAACTCTTTCTCAAGTGCCAACATTACATTGGCAATAATCGTTTCGAAACAAGTTGAAGCTTTAAACTCCAATCTGAGCCTTGGACGCAATGCTGTTTCATCACCTACTCCTGACACATGACAGCATTTGTGATAGTTTTGCTCCCCAGGATCTGAGTTTGGCTTGATGCCGCTGCCGCTTTCCACGCATGCTTCACAGGTGTCTTCCAAATGTTTAGTGCACTACTGCGGGGCACTGCCCGGCCGGGCTGAGATGCTGCAGAGGAGCAAGAAGTTCTACTGTCTTCAGGACGAACAGGACGAACTTGTTTGACAATGGCACGTTTATATTTATTATACCCAAGTCCAGCACACAATAACCTCGCTTCATCTGAGCCTCTGAACCTCTGTGCCCTTCTTTGCAGCGACATCATGATCGACTTAGATTACGATGACTATCTACTGTACGTCAACAGTTCGGTTACAATCATTGGAGGCAACACCACCACCGGCCGTCCATACGTGATCCACGGGAGCTACACTGTGAGCAGATTTCTCCCTCAACTTCCCACTAGACTATGTCAAAGGCTAGAGTCCTTAGCTTGTGCGGTACACTTTAGTATTTTGACGAAATCCTAAAGCTGGAGATGAGTAACAGGAACCGTCTGGGCTTGCCTGAGAGTCCCGTCACAAATACGGGACTCCGGATGTCAAAAGAAACTTGTTGTCCAAGTTACACCGACTGGTCACTTCTTGTAGTTTTCGCAGTTTGTTTTGCAATCCTTGACGTGGGGACTTGGGACGTGGATGCTTGAAAAGTGTTGTGTATCAAGGACAGACTTGCGTGCTGCACTAAGCGAGTCTATGCAACCAGACCCACAACCAGACCCCGCGCCCCTGAAGCACCCTCAAATCTGTCGACTCATCCTGAAGCGGTCCGCTAAGATTACGTTGAAACCGTGTTCTGACTAACACCTACTTTCTGTGCAGTCTCCACTTTTCAGAGTTGCAGGATCGGTGGGCCCTGTTGTCTTCCAGAACTTAGAGCTCTCATCTGCCTATGTGAGTAGCCTGATTTCTTTGTGCCCCCAACTGTACAAATTCTACATAGCTGCGTGTAGTAGTTTTCTATCTTAGACAGTGATGGGTTTTGCACTTCATGATATTATGCGACCCCTCGAAAGGAATCTCAAGAATAGCATCTTTATAGAGCAAACGTAAGAGTCACTTCGAAGCTGGAGCCTGATCTCATCTCCGCATGCTGACAATCCACCAAATTTTCAGTCACCAAAGATCATGGAACCTGCAAGCCGCCAGACATTGTCGCACTTACACAAGCTGCTTCTCTCTTCTGATGACATTCTTGCTCAGCTTGACAATCCGAACAACTTAGGAGTTTGCCAGTATGTTTAGCGTGATTCCTCAGGCCCGAAAATTGAATACCCTCTTCACTAAAAGTAGTGCAAAGAATAATGACGGATCATACCCTTCTGCAGGGACCCTATTTTGGAGGCGCGGTCGATGTCGGAAAGAACGCGGTGGTCAGCTTTATCAACGTCGCTTTCACCAACAATTACGCTGAGGTGAGTCAGCCCTCTCGCATCTCAATCAAGAGATCTGAGAGTCGGTTGAGAAACCAGTGGGGAGATTTAATGGATGGCTGACATCCAGTCCACTGAGGGAGTCCCTTTCAACCGAAAGTGGATTGAAAGACTGACAAGAGCTATAACGTGGATGCATGACCAGGACCATTCGAGTCACAACTTCTAGTGGGAAGGGTTTCCGAATTGCTAGGAAAACTACTTTTAAACTTAGCTGTGCTTGACGATGCTAGCACCGTGGTTCTTTTTGCGTATCCACTCTCATCACCTGCTGTTAACGTTTAATTCTGTGCCTATTCCCACCGCCTCTTCTTTGGTGTCATGACCTGGTGTAAATCTGTCTTCCCTTGTCCAGTACGGAGGCGCCGTGTACACCGAAGGAAACACGACCTTCCTCGGATGTGTTTTCGTCAATAACACTGCCAAAGAATGGGGAGGTAACAGCCTCCCCCCTCACAGCCTGAGATGTTACAATCCATCAGAGAGCGTGCTATTAGGCTCTATATTCCATACTTGTTACGGCTGCTGTCTTCGTGGCTCGGAACTTATCTCACTTGAGAGCCGAGATTCCTACGCAATTTCAAACCATGCGTCCGCTTCCGACAGGCATCAACACACAGTTTGCTTCGGTACGATTGTGGTGACCTCTGATGACCGACCGCTTCTTGTGGACACTGCACACTTGCTGTTGCCTTGCGTAAATGACTGCCCGCACACTCGTCATGAATTGATTGTTCGCTTGAGTGCTCGATGATATACAAAGCTCACCGATCCCAGATCACGTTCAACAAGACACGTGGAAATAATGTAACCCCGAACATCCCCGAGGGAAATGTACCTATAAGACGGTTTCTTAGTCCCCAGCCTTCTAAGCACCCCGCTATTTTCCGCAGGCGCTGTCCACCTCGAAAACTACGTTGGAGGGATAGCTTTGAGCGTCAAGGACAGCATCTTCTATGCCTCCGTTTCCGGCAAGGTCGGGGGCGCACTTTCCATCTTGAGTGGCACTTACGATCCGAACTACGCCACTATCACAGACAGCGTGTTCGTTGAAAGCAAAGCTACTGAGGTGGGTTACCTCTGACAATGGCGGATTAAGGGTCTGTGACTTTGTGGATAACGATATTTGTTTAGGTGTTGAAGCTTCTCGGATCGGATAGTCTCGGAGTTATCAGACTGCTTGGCAAAGTTTTGACAATCTGGAAAGTACGTTCCTTGTAGTAGCAAATGTCAAAAAACGAAACCTTTCAACGTCGAGGGCTCAACATATTGTGGATCTCAGAAAGGACATCGATTGAGTCGTGCTGTTTCGGTACCTCGAGGGATCCAAAAATGCTATCAGGGAATTCAGGCTCCAGACGAATGTCCCGAGAACGGGCCACCTGCGAACCTTGGTAGCACCAACTTGATGAAAAGCTCCATGTAAGGCAAACGAGACAGCCAAAAAGATCGCAACCTGACTTTTTTGAAAAGATTGTAGTTTCGTGATCTTCCTGAAGCTAGACTGAGAAGCGAGGAGCGAGGTGTGGCAGCAGGTATGAAACACGTGCGCAACTATCTGGCGGCCCGGAACCACAAGGATGGTTGCCGAGATCTCGCACTCACGTGAGGATTTGGACCTTTGCAGAAGGGAGGCGCTATCTACGCGTACGCAGGACAGAACGGGACCCCAGGAATCAACGCGACCATTACGTACAACGACTTTATCAACGGAACTACTACCAACGGGACGTTACCGGCGGTTAGTCCAACCAGCTTCGTAACCTGCCTGCGCTTAGCATGGTCCTGAAATGCGCCCTCAAAACCAGCGGCTTTCTATTGAGGAGAAAAAGTCGGTTGAAATCTGAATGGTATCGCCAGTACCAGCTCCGAATTACCAGCTACTTTCGAGGAAACAGGGGTCATGATTCTGGGGCCATAATCTGCGGCAAGTGTCACGATTCGGATTGTTGTAGTGTATGGATTCGGTTACACAACGTTGCAAACTTTCTCCTTGATGGTGCTCGAGTTGCTCCTCACTTAGCAAGGGAAACTGTCTCTCTGCAACGCCCAGCTTAAGCGCGTTTCGCGAATTGGCTGAAAAGTGACCGAGTGCGGTCATCTTCCGCCAAGGTTAGCGTCTTTGTGTTTCCAGACAGGTTTCGTCGTCTGTGTTCCAATCTTCCAAAAAACGCATGGCCATCAACTCCGGATCTCGTGATTGTTTGAAGGGCCGATGATTTGAAGGTGCGCACCAGAGGGATGGGTGGTAGTTTGAGGGTGCGCGCGAGAGGGGGCAGGTGCGGTGCACGTAACAATGTGTGTAAGGGGTTTTGGTTGATGTGCCCGGAGCTTAGGTTACTTAAACCAATCATTTGTTAAGGGTACCGTCATTCTGTGGTGGCAACCGGTTAGGTATTTTAGAGGCACTTTTGCCTGAGGGTCCCAAGCCCCTGCTTGATTAACTCCTAACCGGACAACGAATTCGCCCGTTTACCAGCAGGTTTAACTATTGTTAGCAAGTGGCAGATTCTGGTAGGCCTCAAGCCCCCCCCCCCAGCAATATACCGAAGGGGGTGCTACTTCGAAGTGACGGTACCCTTATACAAGCTAGACCTACCAGTATCGGTGCGTTGTGCAGCTCGGAGGCGGTGCCGTCTACATGGGCGGCGACGGTACGACCGGTTTCTTCGCCGGTAACTCCTTCAAAAACAATAAAGCGCCACGTGGCGGCGCAATCTACGTGTACGGCTCGCTCAACACGTCTTTCTGCGGCGGGGACAGTTTCACAGCGAACGTGGCGCAAACGGTGGGGAGTTAGCGAAACCTGGTCCAGTAACGCGTGACTAGTCTAGATGAGTTCGTCGGGCCGGTTAGATTAACCTTATTCGGGAACGCAGGGCTGCAGAAGGCCAGACCCTGATCGAAAGGGCCAACCAGATTCAAACGGTTGACGAGTAACTTGACAAATCTAGTAATGTTTCCCCCTTTGACACCTGGCTTTTTGAAATGTAGGTTAGTCCAGGCCATCTTGAAAGGATGAGCTTTGGATGAGCAAGCTGTCGTCCGACGGGTCCAATCAAACATCGCCGATATTGCAGGAAACAAAACTTCAATCTGAAGCGGAACCGACACAGTTCGAGAAGCTAGGCGTAATCTGGCCTTCCTCGGAATAATGAAGGAAGCGCTTGCGGAGCTGCTCTCGGTGACCTTCTGTCGCCAAAGTCTGACGTCATCATCTTCGTTTCGAACAATTCTCGAACATCGTACGTGTTCATTGCTTTGCTTTCGAAGGATCTCCGTTTTGACGTATCCCGGTGTTGCCACGTGGCAGGGCCTGGGCGACAACGTCTATATGTACGGCACATACGGTTTAAGCGCCACGTCATTCTGCCCCGCGATCCCCTTGGGAGTGGTCAACGCGCCGAATCAGCAGACGCCTTACGTGTACAACGGCTACTCTAACGCAAGTGAGGGACTCTGTTCTGCTCCTTTCTTACTCCTGTAGGTTTTACCCCGCTTTCTCTCCTTCGTTCTCAACTTTTTTCGTTCTTTGTCAGCGCTTTTTCTCCCTCTCCTTCGTGTATGATTTTCGGTTTTTGCTTGATCCTCGTCCTACCTAAAAGGGACGCTGTCTTTCGAAGTACAAAATGTACCTCAGAAAACAGTGCCTTTTACGCGGTTTTCGTGAACGCCCTATACGTTTTCGTTTCCGCGCCCGCTAGCTGAAGTGACAAACTTTGACCGATGCACCGTCTACTACAGATCAGGGACTTAACCGGACTCTAACCAGGAGTGGGCGAGAAATCTTATGCCTATAATCATACTGAGTTCTCTTTTCTCAGGCTGCGTCGATTGCGACCCTAAAATGATCTGCGACAAGAACGCGACGGGGATCCTCACGCCCGTCGGCGTCGATTGCACGTGCAACGGGGGCTTCTACGGCAGCGGCTACGCGTGCTATCCGCTCGGCTATAACAAGACCTCCTCCTGTGAGCGCGCGCGTCCACATTTGTGACCTTCTGCCGATGCTACTTTCCAACACTTGTCTGACGAATGGCGTTTGCGAGAGGGTTCGTGACAAAGTGCGCGGCAATGGTTGAGCGAGATACAGTGGCAACCGGCGGATCAAGTTGTTGCTTTCTGAGCACGTGGATGTACGCTCCTGTTTCTCCTGGTCCCTATTTCGTACTTTTGTTCTGAGGCGCATCAGGAGACGGGAGCCGCTGTCGTTGATGAGCTGCTCCTTAGAAGGCGGGTACCGCGATCCAAGGTTCTTCCAGGCCTTAATTTCTATGCAAGAGGAGCATTCTCGAGTTGCCTCTTGCAAACTGAGCTCGTTTTGGAGCGTCGGAAGTAAGTGTGCCCTTGTCTGCCGTTGTTTTAAGGGGCCTTTGACACGGACCTTGAAGTACAGAAAACTACGACGTACGCTCATCGTCAACGCGTTTTCCTCCGGCTGTTAATTCCTGATCCCAAAAACCAATTTCGAGGTTTTGAGATTAGTGTGCTGAGCCGATGTGCGGTGCTGTCTCTGCAGTTAGTCTGGCGACCACGCTTATTGCAAAGGCGACCAACACAACCGCCAACCTCACCAGGCTTGCCAACTTTACGACGGTGTCGAATCCGACCTCGGTCAACGCCACTGCTCGGTAGTGAATTGCGCTTTTGAGGAACACTTGGGCTAGGTCGACAGAATGAGAAATGACGCATCCTGCAAGCATTTTTTTCATTGGCCCCCTCAGGGGCACATATCATCGCGCACTGCGCTCTATGCGAGGACGCACTTGTCCAGATCTGTACAATGTAAGGAACGATCGATACAGGCGGAGAATACAGTTGCTGACACATGTGAGGGCGCCGGCCCGCCGCGGAGGCGGCACGTACACGTGGGCGCATGCCATGTGCATGCATTACATTGATTGCACGAGACTGCGCGGCTTAACATTATTGCCCATACGTGCGGCAAGCTACATACTGTAGCGCTCAGGCGCCGTCTCAACTCAATCTACTTCTGCAAAACCAAATTCTGAAAACAAGGATGGCGTACGTTACATTCAATGAGCGCGCTCCTGAATCACGATCCCAGCGTGAGTTCAGTCAAAAAGACAGACGGGAGTCATTTCGTACTCATGCACGTGGCCCCATGATTCTTTGATCGTCCTGTACACCGAGGTCACTAGCACCTCACCGGGTAGCAGTGAGTTTAACTTCAACCCGCTCTGAGGCAGCGGCCGCCGCCTATCCTGGTGAGCGCTGCCGCGCGGCCATGCATGCAGGCACCATTGCTTGGCGGCCGCGCTAGCTGAGGCTTCCGTGATCACTTGCTGAATCAGGGAGGCCTGGTCATTCAATTGGCGCAGCCATGGCCGGGCCGGACCGAGCGATTCCCCTTCCGCGTTCAGATTATAGTTAGTAGGTTAATTAAGTTTCAGGAATTGCCAGTTGGTTTTCTCTTCGCTTTCGGCTTTAGTATGGCCAGCGTCTCCCAATAGTGACATTTATTGATATCATTCTGCCTTATCCGCGTAAGTCGAACCTTTGCCCAGCCGGCGGCCCCTGCTCCGAGGCTCGCCCCGTTCCAATCTCGAGGTTCCAGGCAATTCCGGGCTTGTCCACGGCAGCATGACCGTCCGCAAGCCCTCGAATCACCTCTCTAATCGACGTAAGCAACGCAGTCCCTCATCCAATTTTGCAGCTGCACACGTGTCTGCGCGCGAGCACCGCATGCAGGGGCCGGAGCTAAAGGATCTCGCAATCCGAATACATCTTCGTGTGTAGAGGAGCGTGCCTTAAACAAGATGCCAGTGATGACAGCGATTGGACTCGACTCACTTCAATGCGCAACCCAGGCTTGCGGTCTTCGGATTGTTATGTCGGCCTGAGTTCACATCAATCGCCTTATAGGTGAATCTGCTGTTTGCGACCAACACACGTTTATTGTTCTCATCAGCGAAGGAATCAAACAATGAACCCACAGATTTGCTCTCCGCTGCTCCTTGGTGTGCACGAAACGTCTAGTGTGCTCATACAAACGCACGCTATGCTTGGTCCGCCATCATAAGAACAACTAGAGCGGACCACCCGGTGAAAGGATGTGAGCCTGTGCCGTCCCCTTCGTCGCTGTCCTTATACTGCTCCCAAATGTACCCGCTCTTGTAGTACTGGTCCACGATGTTGCTGCAGGTCGAAGGAAAGGCTTAGAGCGCTAACCTAAAGAATGTACTCATGGATTTAGAGACAGCTCTACCTTTAAACCCTATCCACACGGGCACCAAACATGCTGACCAAAAATATAGACGCTTACCCACAAGGCTGTACACACGCTTGATTTCCTGATACAAGAGTGTGCCGAGGAGAAGGAACGAGATGCGGATCAGGAGAAGCGACGAAATGGAGGTTAACTACTGACCCGATAGAAGAAAGACCTTGCGTTTGCAATCAACGACTCCGCTCTAGCACAGAACTATCTACTTCCCGCGGACCTTACCCGACCAGATTTCGGCGCAGCTCAGCGTGGACTTCGCGGGCCCTCTCTCGATAGGGCCCCGGGGCTGCAGACCGGGAGAAGCAATGAGCAAGCATCGTTGTCGAAATTTGCCACTGTTTGTAAAGTGCGTTTGTGTTCGACGATGCTCTGGTGAGAGGCTCCCCATCCGGCGGCAGAATCTTATGACCATTTGGGATGCGCTCAACGCTAGGAGGATACCCTGAGCTTTTGCGCTGCTTGTCAATCAATCAGATGGAGGAGCTGTCAGAGTTCGAAGTTGGTCCAGCACAAAGTCCATGCTTAAAGATACAGTTGAGGGACATGCCCCTCTGTCTACGGCTCTCCGCTCGGGAAACCAGAACGACTTTAGGGTCACAACATCAGAGCGACTTGCAAACGAAGTCGTTGTGGTCGCAAAGCGCGTAAGGGCAGACGCCACAAACTTCAAAATCCTGAGACCCCATATCCTGATCTTAACCCTATTTTCCCTCCAGAGCGCCAGAGGCTTATCATCTTGGAACTCAAGAAAGATAATAAGAAGCCAGAATGATAATAAGCTCAACACTAAAACAATTACCCAAAAGCTGAGGTGCTCCAAAGACCCACCCACCCTAAACACCAAACAAACCCTTCCCGTCCAGTGCGGTTATTTCACTGATATCCCAGCTTTGCGATATTCTTCTCGAGTTCGATCTCACCATCGCCGTAGTGTCGTAGCGCCGCAAGGGCCAGGTAGTTGAGATTGATCCAGACGGGGCCACGCCAGTAGGGCGCATCGTGCTCCGTGTTGTGCTTCATGTACATAGAACTGCAAACCGAACGATGGGTTACAGGCACGAGACAGGAGCAAAAAGTTGATTTTATTGTTTCCTTTGCATGAAAGCGTCACACCAGAGATTAGTAGACAGATCCACAAACGGAGAACCGCTTGCCATATGCTAGGTCCTACAAGACAGCAAATACAACATACGGTCGCGAAATCGATCCACCCAGAGCTGCACAAGTGGTGAGGAACGCAATTTTGCGGGGCAGAAATGGGACGTTTCCCTTTTCGTCGTAATTGCAATGAGGTTTTTGTTGAAGCTGAAAAGCTCGCTCGAGCATATCCAGCTCCGTATAGGCGCCGATTGTCAGAAGAGTAGCAAAAGCTGGCGCTGAAATAGTGAAAACAGTTCTGGTGAGATCATGGCTCGATGCAAGTAAAGAGCGAGCAGCTCCGGAAACAAACCCTGAGCCACCCTTTGGTCTACGACGGCAAGCTCGTTTCCACGGGCGGAGGGATTGCAACCACAGCTACTGCCAAACTCCAAGGCAACGCTACAATCAAGGCCCGGATGGAGAACCGGTCCCGTCTCTGGCGACCAGAATCTGCCCTGGGACGCAGCTTTGGGCTGTGGAGACAAGTTTCCAGATGGGATGACGGCCGTCGGATGGCTTTACCTCTCCGGACTCAGATGCACTACTTTACCTGAAATCTGACGCCCTCTATAAAAGCAGATTACTCTGGCCAAGCCGGCCTGTTTGGTTTGATGATAGGTATAGATGATAGTTGTGCGGCTGACCTGCTTCTTGCGAGCGAGCGCAGTCCAAAGGGCGTCCAAAGAAAGTGCTGGTCCGTCAGCTTGTCAATCTGCGTCTCCAGAATGGGCGAATCCTGCACAGCGACAGGGCAGAGAATCACTACCAAGTTTTTGTCAATTTCGATGCAGACTGAATAAGGATGAGCAGACATGCTTTGCAGCGAAGCCGTTCCGTTCATCGTGACTGCTCTTCATTTGGTTTCTCTTCCCTTCTACTTCGTGGCTGCTGATTATGTTAGAAAAACGTGTTCCTGACCTCCCGTGCTTCAAAAAGTCGTCGCATGAAATCTGCAAAACGAATAGCAGGCACCGCACGCCGAGCACGGAGCCGAGCATGGACTCAAGACAAGGGGGTCTGATGGTCCGACGATTGAAGATGACGTCAGGAGTTACCTCGCCAGCAGAATCAGCCGCATCAGCAGGCTCAGAAGGTTGCTGACTCTACTTTCATTACAATGGCAAGTCAAAGGTCTTACCATTCGTTTGAGGAAATCACAATTCCTTTTGCCCGAGCTTTCGACGCTCCAAAAATCATGTGAAAATGACGTCAGCGGTGACCTCACCGGCGGGGTCAGCCGCATGAGCAGCGGGAAGAGGCTGTCGTAGCCGTAGTGCGGAGCGGATCGCCGCTGGGGCCTTTCGAAAGTTATCCCAATTATCGGACAGCTGTCCCCAGTATCGGACCTGAAGATTCAAGCCTTCAGAGGTCTGACTTTACAAAGAAAAGCATGACGTCAGCAGTCATCTCACCTGGCGGAAACAGCCGCATCAGCAGCGGGAAGAGGCTGTTGTAGCCGTCGTGCGGGACGAAGTGTGACCTGGGCTTCCGGTAAACCTTAAATCACCTGACGAGTGTTACTCTCAAGCTTCAGGAGGCCGAATAATAAAAGAACGTGACGTCAGCGGTGACCTCACCGGCGGGATCAGCCGCATGAGCAGCGGGAAGAGGCTGTTGTAGCCGTAGTGCGGCACGAAGCGCGGCCGGGGCTTCCCGTGCGTCACTCTTACGAACTGGCGCCCGTACATGTGGCCGGTGGAGGGGTCGGTGACTGGGCTCGGGACGAGTTCGACTTTCTCGGTGTGATTGCCGAAGTCGTAGTAGTTGCCAGACTTTTCGTCCAGATGCAACTGAGAAAAGTTGGAGATTTCGTTAGGATCTGCATAAAAATCTTCGAATTAGCCTCGGAACGAGTTCGACTTTCTCAGTGTGGTTACCGAAGTCGTAATACTTGCCCGACTTTTCGTCCAAGTGCAACTGAGAAAGCTTTGGAAATTACGTCAGGAATCTGCGCTCTAGTGGGTTTCAGGTTCGAGCAAAGGAATCTTCAAATTGGCCTCGGGGCGAGTTCGACCTTCTCGGTGTGATTGCCGAGTCGTAGTAGTTGCCCGATTTTACATCCAAGTGCAACTGAGAAAGGATGAGGTATCAAGTTTCTGCGGCTCAAGGGGGTTTCAGATTGGAGCATAGGAGAATTCGAAATGTTAGGATTACAAGCATTGATTGAGCCTGGGGACGAGTTCGACTTTCTCGGTGTGGTTGCAAAGTCGTAGTACTTGCCCGACTTTTCGTCCAAGTGCAGCTGAAAAAGGTCAAGGATTTAAATCAGGTTTATGGCGATTTGGTGCACGTTGGATTTTTGATTAAAAGGATCCAAACCGTTGAGAAAGCAAGCGTTGTTTTCAGATATACTCAACGGGTTTTCAAAATCTTGCCGGGCCGGAAAAGATCCAAACCGGAATGCTCGTTCAGTGCTGGCGAATGCCGCATGCACCCGATGCTCTTGTAGGGGCCTGGACGGGTCAGCGAACGCAAGTGACTGGAACGAGAAACCTGAAAACCGTCAAAAGCCTCCACTTGATTTTGCTTGGAGCCCAGATGTTCTAGTTTCAGCACCTCTAGCTCTCGGGTTTCTCGAAAATAGCGAGAATAGGGCAGAGGAAGTTCCACACTGCCCACCTGGTTCAACAAGCTGAAGTCGGAGAGGTGCTCGGCCGTCTCCTCGTACACCTGCCACATAAGAAACAATAAAGAGAAGTTTTAGGAATGCTGTCTGGCCGATGAGAAACAAACGTGAGAGGGGCAGAGGCACTATATAGACGGTGATTGATTGGTCAGGGCCAAACCAAAACGCAGTCAGGAAACGCCTTCATACTTTCGTAGAGGCGAGCGAATCGTTAAGGGCATCGTTGTCAGGCTTGTCAGACTAATTATTGGACGGACCCAAAAGACGAACGAATCTTACGTCAGCAGGCTCCCCTAGGATCCGGCCGATCAGGGCCATGGATTCCGCGGCGAGGGCCATCCAGCACCGGAGATCCACGTGGCGCTCGTCATCGGACGGGTGCGACGCCCGGGGGTAGTCGTCCAACCCTGACGTCAACGTCTGCGTTCCAGAACATCACTCGGTAAGTAACGAGCGAGAGCCTGTTTTCTTCGGCGTCAGGGATGAAGAGTCTAAGAGTCGCACAAGCTTTGAGATTGACAAAGACCTGCTCTCTGACGGGGATTGAGATGGCTCCGCGCTCTACTTCCCCACTGGCACTCTCGGCAGGAAGTAGGTGCCTTGGGTAACATGGCGGCCGCAAGAGACCAGATCCGTCTCGACGAGAAAAGGGCCGACTTGCACGAAACAACCACAACCTCGCTGCACGTGGCGAGGGTTTCCTTCCAAAGCGCATCATTGCCACACGCCTCGAAACGTCGCGTGATTGCGAAGACCCTCAGTGCTCGTCAGAATGACGTCAGCGATGGCATCAACGATAAAGTAGAAGCCCAGTCCCACCTTTGGGTTCAGCTCCCGATCGGTGGTTGCGTCCCGCCCGTGCCAGTAGTAGCTCCCGGGCAGCTTACCTGCAAACGTTTACAAACATTTCTATTCCTGAGCATTCGTCACAAAGCGCCTACCAAAGCTTACGGAACGTGCTAGACCATTCAGAGTTGAGCGACTTTTGCACGAAGATGAGTTGAAACTTGGCTACCGGACTGATGAATGATTGCAAGGGGGTCACGCGAGTCACAGCCTCTACTTGGTTTCTCCCTCCTAAGAATCAAACGGATTGATCGCTTGTGTGCACCATGCGGAAATCAGATGATATCGACTCTATTTCGTTCCCGATGCTTCAGAAGGCGCACACGTCAGTACCTTCGGAAAGCGTGCCGGCTTACCGACTTGCGTGGTGTTGAACCAGTTGAACCAGACCTTGAGCCGGGGGTAGCTCCGGACCAGGAACGCCTTCTCCGCAGCCAGGAGCGCGCGTTCGTCATCGCTGACGTCAGCGGCTGCGTCCGAAGACGCCGCAGCAATGCGCATGGCGATCTCTGTACGATGAAAACAGCGGCTTATCCAAGAGACATGCGAATAGGATGGGGCACGCTATACTGGCATTCGTGAAAAAGAAGAGCGTTGAGTGGTTGGAAGGCGACCCTGTTTAAAAACCACTCAGAATCCGAAGACCACCAATGCAAAATTCATCAGCTCGTTGTTGCGCATAAGGGAACAACTTCAAGCATTTCGAAAAATTCTGCGAGTCGGTCGGGAGGTAGTAAGTATTCAATAAAAAAAGTAACAACCGCTTGATGTCAGTAAGACAAAAAGCACAGGGGTGAGTCGGCATGTAACCCTGACCATGCCAAGTATCACAACTCGGTGCATAAGAGTTGGTTGACCAATCTGGTGATCGTTACCATCATTCTGACGGTCCAAAACTGCATACCGTTCTGAGAACCGACGACACAATCGACAGAGCGCCAAAGCCCACTCACCTCGAAGCGGCATGAACAACGTCGGTGGGTTTGCGTTCGTCGTGTGCTGCAAAACGAACTGGTCTGGAACACGCCTGCAAACAAGATACCGAGCGGTCAGCGTATAGCAACATGAAGGAAACGCAAAGGCTGTGAGACTTTCAGCATATGAGTGAACCAAGATGAGGTCAGACGAAAGAAGGCGCATAAGGCAGAGAACCATTTGATTGAGCATATAACACGGCATTTTAAGGCAGTTTTTCCATGTCACCAAGCGACCGCCTACTCATGGAACAAAAGAGGACCCCTGTGCATCACTGTATGTTGCAAGACATCGTCGTCTGCATTGCGAAGTGCTTGATCACAGAAACAAACGACAGGCAGCAAAAGTCACTGCGAGCCTGCTAATACAATCTCAGACTATCAAGGTTGGACAATTTTAAAAGCCCGTGAAATCGACTCAAAGGTCCTCGCCTCCTGAGGTCGCCGCCACAGCCGAGCACAGCTAAGCCAGCGTTCTTGACTCCTTATTCGCAAGCTCTGCTCTGGAAGAATCCAACAGTGTCGCAATTGACGAGGGACGCATTCGCTTACGGAGAACCGCATACAAGAAACGCACACTCTCCAGCAAATGTATGAAATGATATGATCTTGTAGGCCTACCTGCGTGCCTCAGAGCCCAGAATCTGTTCCCGAGGGATCCACCCATCCTTATTCATGAGGTCTAGCCAGTGTGCCATCACGTCCAATGTCAAGCGGCGGTCCCATCGGCTGCAAAAGACAGAGTTTAAGCGGTCTCAGAAGTGAGATTGTACGCCTTCTGATGTGTTCTTCAATCGGCGCTTCATGAGGCGGGCCGCGGCCACGAAAAGAAGAGTGGTGTTGTTGCGTGAAAAGGTCATTGAGAGTGAAGTATATTGGGCGCCATCTGAAGCTCTTACTTCGGACACGCTGCAGATCTTGATAACAAGCCGACTAGAGAGACTTCTACGCTTCAACTACGTTCTAAACAACAAAGCAGACGACCTTCTACGAGTGGGAGGTCTCAAAACGTCGCGTCTCCGTGTGGACTCTGATACCGGCCTGCCGTATCGGAAACTTTGAACGATCCTGTGCTTGTTTTGCCCAAGCAAAAGCACAGTTGTCATGACCCCAGAGCACTCTCGAAACATGCAACCATAAAAACTGCTTCCAGAACCGAAGGATGTACGTAACGCCTGAGTCCTCGAGGCGCCCACCCGATGAGCAGCTGGTGGAAGCCTTCGTCCCAAAGGAAGCCCCGGGGAAAGAAGGAGCGGCTCGGGGTGGCCGTGAAGAGCGCCGCCGGCCAGTACTTGTAGTACGGCACTTTTAGACGTTCCTGCAAAAGTCAGAAGTGGATATTTGAAAATCTTTTACCTTACTTGTGATTGGGTGAAAAAGCCGGCCACATCGGCAAGCGGGCTTGGCGTCAAGCCTTTTCTTCTTGTTTGTGGCGCCCGCATCTGAAAACTGGGGTAGTGCTTGAGCTTGACGATGAGCCCTGATCATCAACCTTAGCAAAGCCACTTAGCAATCGTCTGCCTTCCATTTGATGAGCAAAACAACAGCCAATCATGAAATCTAGTGCACTCCACTGCAGTGGTTCGTTCCGAACAAAGAAAGAGCCGTACGCTCACTTTTAGGGCGTCCGAAATTGCGATCCTGGACCGCCCGTAGAAGTAGCCCATGCCCCCAAGCATGTTGCTCAACGCGTGCTTGGCGACCTCGATGTCGCCTTCTGAGGCGCCCTGCAAGAAGGTGGTCGCCATACTGTGAACAGTGTACACAATTGCCTCCCAAAGTGTGGGCGTGAGGGTGGGCCCCCAACGATTATTGCTTTGCTGACGTACCGGCAAGTACAGTCCACTTGATCGGTCGCCGAGAATCTGGCACCATGGAGTTGTGTAGGGCATCTGTTAAGGTCGGGCCCGAGTCAGTAAGTCGCCGGCTGGGCTGAGGGAACTTGGTAATGAGAGAGAGGGGATTGGCCCACGTACGATTGAGGTAACAACAGCTTCCGAGAAAAGCCCGTGGCGCGAAAGATCGGCACAGGAGAGGACAAATCCGAACGTGTTTTGCAAAGTGAATGGAGGACGAGAGAAAGCCCAAGCTAGAGAGGGCTTCCGGGAATGTGCATCCAAAGTGCCCACTTTCACGTAACCTTTATCAAGTGGTCTTGGATCTCGGATCGAATTGCTGACATCAATAAAAGACAGGGAGCGACAAGAGAGAACCTGCAGAAAAACCCAGCAGAAAGAATAAGACCGACACCAAGCGCTGCCAAGCTCGGCATAAGACAGTCGACACGTGGAGAAGAGGCAGACAGCAAAGATCAGGAATAAACTCACGTTCTCTCGCAAACGGAACGTTTCTTCGAACCGCTCGTCGAACGCCGCTTCCGCTTTCTGCAGCCGCTTCGTCAGCCGTTTCTTCCCCGGGATGGATGCGGCTTCCGTTTCCGTTCCGCCGCCTCCGGGAGACGTGAAGAAGAAGTCGACCTCCAGCGGAACAGTACCCGTGACTTGGAACACCGCCATGTTGGAGCCCGGCTCGATGACGTCATCTAGGATCATCTTGTTCTGGCTGATCACCTGGCCCGAAAACAGACAAAGCTGAGGGATATACTGTAGGGATCTGACGTGCAGCATCTTTGACCAAGCCTTTCATTTTAAGGACCCCAGTACCGAGGGGTCACGTAACCTGCCAGGACTTTCGCAATTTCACCTCTGGCTCTGCATGACTTTGCCAATGATGCGATCTCAAGGTCCGTTTGTTTCTCAATGGGTCCACGTGACGTCCTTAGCATCGTTGTTTGGTCATTCCCGTGCCATAGGGAAAAATCATACGTTTTCGAAGAAGGAATCAGTCAATTGCAGTGCACGCAAACAACACCTCAATAAATTCAAGGACTCTGGTAAGTGAGTACAAGACAACAATTCAAGCATATTAATCCACCCATGTCAAAGAACCTACCAAGCGTCTGAGGAAAAAACAGCCTGCCAATGGCTGTTCGACAGCCTCCATTAAGAGTCGACGCACGTCACTAAGGTCGCTACTCAAAAAAGCGGATTAAGTCTCCCAGTTCTTGCCACAATAGTCGGTCAAGGATTCTGTTAAAGCCTATTTCGCAGAAGCTAGGTAAAGAAAGATTGTCAGAATGACCCTGCAAGCCAAGGTCACTTTATCATCCGCAGTCGTTCAATGACGCAAAAAAGAAAGAGCATGAGGGAAAAGCTGGGCGATACAACAGGGAGCCACCCCCGTTTCGGACACAAAACCAGGGCGGTGACTTGTGATTGGCCGGCTGGAAAACCGCAGACCTCGAGCTCACCTGTTTTCCCACGTTGTCTCTTACGATCTTCGTCAGATCGTCTTCCGGTTTCGCCCTCGCCCCGTGAAAATGCACTTCCCCATTCGTGTTTTGCCGCGTCCGAAACTCCCAGCGCCCCAGCTGCGCGTGCTTTCCGCTCGCGAAAGGTCGGTCGTGCGATGAAAAGTCGGGGGAAATTTCGAGGGGAGCTGGCAGCAAGATGCAACGGGGTTCAAGAGCAGTCATCGTGAAAACATTTCAGCGGACGCCCGAGTTCTCCAAAGTCTAGCTTTGTTGTCGCCGCAAAACTTTAACGTGCTTGATCGACGCAGCAACAGGAGTTCGAAACTTTCAATCCGTGTGTCACCATTGACACGTGGGGTGCTCGCCCAAGATTGCCAGGTCAAAACGAAAGCGAATCGCTGTGGGCAACGCCATAAGAATGTCTGATTTGGTCGAAGCGGTTCTGTACATCGGTCATGATAAGCGGTCTCGCGAGCTGAATTGACCATAAGCATGCGGCAGTTGATTCGACCGCGCCAAAATGTGAAAAAGTTGCGACCAAGCTTGTTTATCACGATGGCCGAATGTATGTGGCAAACGCGGGGACCTACCTCTAGTCTGTATTGTACTTCATAGATTTGAAGCAACTGCTCTTTTCTGGACGAGCTTTGCTTACCTTAATTTGAACCCCTTTCTTCTTGCCCAATGGTTTCGTTTGCCCGGAGGAGTGTCGGACCGGGACGCCAACCAACCGTCTAGCGAAACTGTCTAGCAAAAACTGACGCAAATGCATCTTTTGGCTTGTCTACACAGACGAATACCAGGAAATCGATCTGAGCAGACACTGGGGGAAAGACGGGCGAACAGCTGGGATAGCAAGTTTGTCGGCTCATACCTTCTGTTTCGTCCATTATGTAGAATAAGAACGACCCTTGATTGAAATGCGACTGCTCTCCCCGGATGTCAATGTAGTCCTTGTTCCGATCATAAGTCACTCGGACGGCCCACTCGCCAAAGGCACCGCGGTCTTCTGGATCCTTCATGAATGACGTCGTGATGAGGTAGCCCTCGTCTAGCAGCTCCTGTCAGAAGAAAAAGGGCATGTCTGATGGTCATTTTGGTTTTTCAATAACCGTTTTTCTGTAATTTCGTTTGCGCCCTCCCTCTGACTACTCTCCTTACAGCCTGTCCCGTTTTCCAAGTAGCCACGGTCAAATCACCAACCCCATTTTCTCTTTGCTTATGGAGATTCGTTATATTGGTTTGCAGGTCACGTCCAAGCCGCATTCTTTGCTCCTCTTCTTGTCTCTCTTTATGGACTTTGTTGAGAATCTACTTTCCAGTGTAGCCTGATCAGGATGCCAAAACAACTTCGCATCAATCTTGCTCTCACAAGCTACCTTGACACCAAGAACCACCGATTGAATTTTTGACCAGACTCCCACAAGTCTATTCCAGTCATTGACTCCAAAGCCTACTCAAAGAGCCCTCGACTTCGTTTTCAGATTATTCTTTTGAGATCTTGGGGATGGGCAGACCAGGACAACATCAAATAATGTGTCAAAGCTCAAGAAGGGGGCAGACCAGAGCGCAGGGCATACCTGGCGACCAAATCTCACACCGTCATGGCGGAGCCAGCCGTAACCTGACATCTCGTCAGAGTCTTCGCATTCGTGCCGGGTCCGGTACATCTGTTTCGAGATCCCCAACCACATCAAGCCCGCGATGATAGACTTGGGAACCCTGCAGAATTGGGACTGAAATTCCTTTGCGCCACTTCTGTTATCTGACTTATGTCATTGGCGCCACAGCCTTGAACCTGTGCGCCAGAAGCTTCAATCCAGCTTAAGGACCTGGTGAAGATCTGGTGCATGACTGAGAAAAGGAGTAAGCAAGTACTTGTACTTGAAGTGGTTTGCTTTTTGAGTCAATGCTGAGGTGCTTTCAAGGATTCGCCTTACTGGATGTAGAGAACTTTTTGTAAGACAGATTGGTATACCAGGCGTACAGCGTCGTGATTTGACATTCCTCTGGAGACCTCAAGATTGAGACCTGTTTGGGGAAGAAAGTGAGGCAGCATGAATGCCAAGGGTGGTTACTCTGACAATCCCGCTGGTATGCATACCTATGCTTTGGCTATGACATATCATGAGGTTTCAATGACCGCCTTGCAGGTCGAAAGCTGAGTTTTGGAACAAATGCTGTCACATGCGCCAGGTGGTGGCAAGATGTCTTGGCAGCTTTGTGTTCAGAACTGATAGTCCTCAAGAAGTCGGCGCCCTTGAACAATGAGAAGACCAGTGTCCTCAAAGGAACATACTGAAGGATGACTGTAGAATGATGGGGCCGTGCAGAGTAAGGAATGCATGCCAGATCACACTGCCGCAACTTTCCCCTTTTCCATGTGTTGAACTAACCTTGCACGAATGCCAAGATACATTCCAGGCCTGTACGTCCCCCACAACATTTCGTCCTTGTACCCCTCCTGGAAGTAGTCCAGTTCCGTAACCTTGGGAGATTGCAGCGGCGCCACCGATCGCTTCAACGCCCTCACTTCAGCATCTTCAGTAAAGAGCTGAAAACTGAAGGCTGCCATCACAGCAAGTCCAGCCACCAATGCATACTTGAGAAATCCTGTCATTGCTGAGGCGTCCGCAGTTTGCTTCTTGCGGTCCCTGGGGGGGAGGCGCTTGCTACTCTTCCCCATGATCGTTCTGCTCGATTCGTTTTGCCAACTAGCGATGGCACAGAGTGGTGGAGAAAAAGGCTTGCGCCGATTGCAAGGAAAGTGGATCAGAGAGAGGGCCACATCGAATGCTGGTGAAGCTGATCACAAGCGCTCTGCAAGTGACTAATGGCATCACTCGAAGACCCTAGCAACTCTCAATGTGGACCTTCCATGGAACCGCTGGCAACGTCAGACTTTACTGAGAAGCGGCCCACTCCACAAACCAACGAACAACTTCCACAATTCAACACCTCGTGGCGACCTGCCACTTCAACCATCAAAAGGACCAGAACTCCCTGCCCGCCAAACTCAATACGAATTGCATACCTATATTGAACATCTTCATGCAGTGCGCCATCACCTCTGGTTTGCCATTCGATAGCGCAGCTCGTTTATAGATTTATCTATAACGAAGCTGTCGGAATGGTCGCCGACCTTGAAATGGGAGAAGGCAAATTTTTATCCGTCGAGACAAAATTGCTACGGAGCGGCCGTGCCGAAAATCGACAGCCTGAAGTTCGATGAGGCAAAAAAAAATTGTCGTGTAGTGCCTCCAACTCTTTATTTATCCAAACGACGACAAAAATCTCAGACGGTTGAAAAACTCATCGTACGCCTTCCATGTGGAGCCTGCCCGAATCAGATACAGCGTATTTTAGTTTCCCGGCAAAATTGTGACCGGTTGAGCGCGAAGATTGCGGCGGCAGCACGAACGCCGACGAACCTGCTCCCGGTCACGTCCGCAGTTTTCGGTGCCACATTTTGCCCCAAGAAAATGGATAAGCGGCCGGGGATTTTTGCCCACGCGCGCACAGCGGCACTGCCTCAGGCTGAGTCGACCTACTTCCAATGTGCGATCGGACGGTCAGCGGTTGATTGGGAATATTGCAACTGCATCCGTCCGATGAGGTCAGAGAGCACCTAATGCAGTCAGCACCGTCCGATGCACCTGGTCTAAGATTATTGTCAAACTGGACTTAGGGGGATAGGGGACAAGCCAATCTTCCACCCCTAATCTGAAAACAATCTATATATCATCTTATAAAAGGTTGTCATAAGGCTTAGCAATAATACGGTACTGTCACAATGAAGTAAAATATGCCTTGCGTTGGAGCTTGGCCCCATTGTAGACCAGCCGGGGTCAACATATTGCGTTCATATAATATTCATATTCGGAGAAGCACATCCTATAAACGAGCTCCTAAACGGCGTCCCGCCGTTTCTCTTTTTTGATGCCAATGATGGACGAAGGAGCTCTGAGTCTAACCACCACATTGCAAGCGACTCGTATTAAGGATAAAGTTTGATACCTATAAGGATCTAAGAGCTATAAGTCAAGCCCGGCGAACGGGTGGGGTTGGTATGGTGGTTAGGGTGGGTTCGGGTGCGGAGCGCGTCACGTTTGTAGGTTAGGGTTTTTAGTTAGGTTGTTGCCCCGGGTACTTCCTTATAGGTATTGGATCCTTATAGGTATTAAAGTTGACGGTATCAGCCACTCTAATCGTGAAAACAATGCATGAGCGACACGTTATGACACTTCTCAAGAAAACCTGCCGTAACTCCACCTCCGGAAAAGGTTTGTGTCCGAACTCGGAGGCCCCCGTGTAAGTGGGCATTGCAGCTGATTGTTCAGTGAAACAAATGAAGTGCCCTCGACTCTCGAGTCTTGAAGTCGGGTCTTGCACACCACCACTTCATCTTTTGTTGCTCTGCAGGACGCATGAGGCGCAGCAACAATGATGGCGCCCAAGTCTGAGCCAGCGCCCCTGGTATCGGCAATCGTACAAGCATGAAGGAGAATGCAAACTTGTGTCTGCACGGGATGTGCTCAGTGCTCGTTCCATATAGACGTGAGCATGTAGTACAGTACCATGAGTGGATGCAGGACCCTTATTTGCAGGAGGCAACGGCCTCGGAGCCACTTACTGAAGACGAGGTAAGCCCTTTTTGTCCAGCTCTGATGCATTCTTTTTCTTAAGATTTGTCCAATGCACAGCACACACAATGCAATGTTGCAACTTCTTTGGCGGGGTGGTGCACTGTCGTCATTCAATTGGAATTGCCACTTTTGGTGGTTGAAGATTGACAGAGGGCGCTTTGATATGTCTTTGTCTGAGGCAAAGGCTGTGGCTAAGAAGGAATGTTGCCTCTGTTGTAAGGGTGATGAGAGTTGTTGACTGATAAGTTTACAACAGTAGCTAATTCTGTCGAAGAAGGTGGCGCAAGTACAATAACCGAATTGGTTGACCATTAGAGCAGTAGTGGTCAGAACATCTCTTCACAAGATCTCCGGGCATCAAAGAGTCTGCATACATTGTTCCTGGGAATGGTTTGAAGTTGCCCTGAAACAAATCTGTGGCCGTCGCAGGAGTACGAGATGCAGAAGAGTTGGGCGGAGGACCCCAAAAGTAAGGTGTGCGCCTGCTCTCTGATACGTCCCCTAGACCTTCTGACTCGTATTTTCACTGGTTTGTTGATCTGCTAGCTTGGAGAGAGGACGCCATTCCAACCCCAGGAGCAACCAGTCAGTGTCCTCGGAAGGAAAGTTGTTCAGCAGATTCGAACAGGCCCTGGCGAAGGAAAAGACCAATGCTTGCTTTCTTGCTTAAGGTATATTCTGCGTATGTGTTGCAGAGTGCACGTTCATCGTCCTCGATGCTGAAGTGGTAGGGTACCGCCGGCCGGCAACTTGTTTAGACGGTAAGTTGATGCACCCTTCTAGCCGACTGCTGAATCATGACCTGTCTTCTCATCCAGCAGTTAGTTTGGCTGAACATGGTGACATGACTTTGCCAGACTGTCCCTTTCTTTTGTCTGTCGTACTGATTGAGCCTTCGGCTGGACAGAATTTTGCGTGAGTAGTCAAACTCCCCTGGTTTCGGGTGCGTGCTTGCAACTTGAGCAACATCACAGACTTAGGCGCGCAGATACTGTATAAACAGATACTGTATAACGGAGCTTCGTGCACGCTGTGTTTGGATGCGCGATACCACGGTGTTCGTTGTTGAATCATGAAGTGAGACCTTAGACCAACCTTTTTTCGACATCCCAAGGTCAACCTTTTTTCAACATCTTTACGGACAGCGTGTTTGCTGCTCGCAGCCATGGCCGGTGACGTAAACCTCTTTCTGAACGACCCTGATGACGCTTCTACCGCTGAGATTGAAGTCATGATTGCGGAGGAGAAGTGGTGAGCTTTTACAAAGCGCTGAGAAACTTTTGCAAGAGAGTTTGGAGTAATTCTTTCTTTGTGGCTGGCGGCCTTTCCGAACCTGCGCAATGTTCGGAAGTGCCAGTCGATTGAAGCCTTAGTTGCTGCTGCAAAACTTTGCATACCTCCAGAGCAAAGTGAGCAACTTTCTTTTGTGTGCCAACTTGATTGTCTGATCAGCGTTTGGGAGTGGTTCTGGTCCCAGTGAACCAGGAACGGGTGTAGCAAAGCTCTGAAAGACTGCCTGGCGGGTGATGAGAACAACGCCTCAAACTTGCGGAGTGCTTCGCACGGTGTTGAGACATGCAATGTAGACCCCTGACGCCAAGCTGAAGATGCTCCATGTAGCTCCTCCTCCTTGTGTTCTACCCATGCTCTTCGCAAAAGCTCTTGTCACAAGCAGTCTTTTTTGGCAAATCTAGGTCGATTTTGGTCTTCATCGATTGAGATTTGCGTGGTCACAACTTGTCTGCGTCCTTGTTAAAGTTGAGCAGCAATCTGATCATGTCTGAGCGCTTGTTTGTGTATGTCTTCTGGAGAAGATCAATTGCGGAACGCCCAAACTGACGAGCGTATTGGTGGTCGATGGACGCCCGTTGCAAAGCATTAGCGAAGTGCTGATTCTTAGGTTTTAGAACCGTAGGTCTCGACTGGCAAGTTGGTCTCAAGCTCTCGGGACTTTGAGAATCATCATCGAAGATGAATGCAGAAAAAGGCGTTTCTCTTTGAGAAGAGTCGTCAACTCCAAACAAATTGCCAAGCTGAAGCAAGGCCTCATACCTCGTAACGTTTTTTTTGTGTTCTGATTTCTCTGAGTTGAATTTCTTGCTTCCTTCATACTTCAATTAGAGTCTTTCGTTGCTCCTTTGGCTGCGATTCTAGACAGCTTTCAAGTGTTCTTTTTGTAGGATGCTGTCCTTCCGTTTTCGTTTGATCCTCAGCTCACGTTGCCCTCTTTCCAGGCAGAAAAAGTTGTCACTTATCAAACAATAGCCCGTTTTTCCCCATTTGGACCTTTTTCACCGTGCAAATTTCATGTGAATGTGAACGTAGTTGACTTGGTGCCCTATACAACGGTGTACTGTAAGAAAAATCTTCGAATGTCGTGTCAAGTACGTGACATCTCACGCAGTTGGATGTGCGACCTACGAGAGAGTACTGGCCTTGAAAGAAGGCCGGAGTTCTCTTTGAAATGCGCTGAAATTTGGCTGACGCCCTGCTTTTTGCCCAATTATGCAGCCGACGAAAGGGCCTGGCCCGGGAGGCCCTGCGGCTGCTGATGTTGTACGCCGTTCGAACGCTCCGGCTGCGGCGATTCGTGGCCAAGATCGGAGAGGGCAACGTTGCTTCGCTCAAGCTTTTCCAGTACTTGGTGAGCAGGCGCGCAGGCCTTGGGTTAGGTCAGTTAACCTTGGGTTTTATCCCCCTTGGGTGTTATCAACGGTTTCCTAGACATCCACCCCTCTCTGATAGTTTGCCACCTCGCCGGTGAATTGAAAACGCGGTCGATGCACTAAGACGGGCGGTTTAGGGAACCAGTTCAACCCAAGTGGGACTAGCGGCTGACGTCTTGCTAACCAAGTGGTTCTGGGTTCTCAGCAAGCTTCTAAACCCTCGTTTCAAATTCCCAGTTTATTAATTTCACGGCCCACGAGTCCTGCCTTTCACGCTCTCGCGTCATTTTGTTTTTGCAGGGGTACGTCGAAGTGAGTCGAAGCCAGGCCTTCCGAGAGGTGAGCTCCGGGGACGCAATTACCCACGCTGCCTTGTTTAGTTGGTCTCTCTTCCTCTCAACTCGTACAGTCCGCTCATCTTATAAAGTTGATTCGTCAAGAGAAAGCTGGGATATGAGTAGCGGCTGGCCATCAAGAATCAGTTTCTGAATCGCAATGGGCCCAAGTTACGTTTTTCTTTTTCGGTCATGTTATTGAGCGTTCTCTATTTGGTCCCCTTAAGTCGGCCCTGCCATTTGAGTCAGGGCAGTTCAACGTTTTGGCTAATCATGTGACGTAGTCACTTGAGCTTTCGCATTTTCCAATGTATCGGCTGGCACCTGGCCCCTAGAATTGGGCGGATTTGAATCCTTGGGACATTCTTCGCATAGACTGACGATAGAAGTGCGCGAGCAGACTCAGCGCCAAGCGCTGCTACTGCCATTTTTCAGTGGATGCGTGCTATCTTGCGCAAACCACCGGATGTGGCTGACCAAAGAAAGTTTCTGTCAGCTTAATAAGTGGGTTCCCTGTAATCAACAACGTGCTGGAACATAGTCCTTACAAATCAAGGCTGAAAACTGACCACTGTTTGTACTTGTGCAGATCACGCTCGAGTATAGAGTGGGTCAAGAGGAGGAGAAGCTGCTTGCCTCGCAGACAACTGGGATGCAAACAAGCATGTACGATTAGCCTGAGTCTCGCAACTGCGCGGTATTGCTTAGGGCCATTTTGCGGGTATGCAATTGGTATTGCAAGGCAGTTGGCTTCCAATTGTTGTAATGTAGGACTACCAAACAGGCAGGCTTCGAGATGTGAAGCACTATGATGCCCCGTGTGAACCTCGAAAACAATAGATACACTGATAGCTGCTGCTAGTTGATTGGATTATGCGAAATGTTGCCTGCAGAATGAAATTCGAGAGTGCTGTCGTGATTGAATATTGTATGGAACTTACGCGACTCTACTCATGGTACCGTCGGTGCCTTGTGTAGAGGGTCCGGGTGACTATTGATGGGGTGCCTCATTCCATAGCACAAGCTGCTGGTACAGTTGAAGCAGCATGTCAAGTACTACCACCCTAAGAGTACGGAATCAGTCGAACTTACATCCATGTCATTGGCTGAGGGCGGCCCTAGCTAGCATATCGACGGGCTAGCTATGTCATGCCAGTATGGATCGAGTCCTAATGGAGTCGAGGCCGATGCGAAACAAGCCATGCTGTCAAAAAAATGTATTGCAACAAACAAACAATCAGGGATGTCTGCAACTTATGCACCTTATGATTGCAAGCTCTGTGTTGATGCGTCGCAGCGTATGATTACATGCCCCAGCGTTTATGTCGTTGTGCAAATACAAGAGCAGCCGTGTGCTGCTCAGGAACCTTATGCTTCGGCACTGGATGAAGATAGGGCAAACAGGTACTGGCACCGGCGCCATAGCGCACCCTCTGAGAGTCCCTATAACCAGCAACTTACAAAAGGTTGCAGTAGCAACCTTGCAGTCCAATTAAGATGAGCCCGCAGGTAACTAGACTGGGCTCAGAACTGTCCGGTTATATGCCTATATGCTCAACATGCAGACCATACGCTATGGGCTCGACTCAGGACCCGCCTAGAGCTCATCGAGCATGACAGCTAGCTCACCTGGCTCGCAAGCTAAGTTCTATAAATGGCGCCGCGGGCCGGATGGTCCCGGCGACGGCGGGCCTGGCTGCACGGCCGGCTTTCAGCAATGCACTGGGCCGCGCCGCGCCACATGACGCAATCTAGCGCCGAATGTAAGGAGCTTTTTGCACTAACATGCGACCGTCAAAGATATTGCTGCATCAGTCAGTGCACCGTCGCGTCTGGCTCGCATTCCCAGAGATGGATTGGGTTTGGCATGGGCTAGCTGCGCAGCAACGTCCGTCTGCCTTGTCATGTTGCCGATTAGATGATCTGGGTTCGCCAGGCTGCGTGGCCGCTAACAGAGATAACCAGACTATTGAGCGCGGCGGCGGACATCGGCGTCTTCAAAAGAACAGGCGCGATCAACATAGTCCGTCATGCCCCCATCGCCACTGAAGACCAACCGCCTACGGCAATGAAAGTGTGGGCGCGGCAACGTACAAGTGAGCGGCACGCGGCGCAGCGCATGGCCCGCCCGCCCGCACCCAACCGGGTACATCCTGAGCCTGTTCAGATTTTTCTGCGGAAGCCGACGCCAATCTACTCTTGCCAGTACAGGGAGACGACTTTGGTCTCAATCGAAGGTACAATTGAAAGATCGCCTCGAGGCAGATGGTCCGGTTCAATATCGACCACCAGTTAACTTCGCCTCTCTTCGATCGCGCACTACGTCGTTTCCAGACAGTATCACACTTCTGAAACTGTGCATGGGGTTACGTGATCAACGGCCCGATGCACAACACGCGTCAAATTCATATGGGGCAACATTATTGGCCCGTTAATTCCAAGCAAATGCTTCTCACCTACAAACTATACAGTGATATGTCCGCTCATTACTGATGCTGACTCTCGACATCCTATCACCTTTGATGGAACAATCGTGTTTGCCGAAACTGAACTCACAGGGGATTTTTACATGAAGATAATCGTCAACTTAAAGGCCCTTTTCACTTGGTACACTGGGCCAGCTACTACTCAAAAACGTCCTGCTGGACACTTGGAGAAGTAGAGTTTTACCGCGGATTCGCTGGTCTTTCGACCGCTTTGAAGCCGCAATCAGACTCCAACCGCTGGTCAACTCTGTCGACGACAAAACTTTGCTCTGACATCAATTTAGCGCCCAATCTCACACCATCGGATAGTTACTCTTCCTAGCGCTCAAAGACTCTCGAGCAACAACCAAGACAGGTAGAAAACATTGTTCAAGATATCAAAGCCACCGCACAAGTTTTTGCGCCGTGAACTCCCCTATCTAAGATTACTGATAGAGGGACATAAATTACTGCTCCCGGTTCTCAACACAGACCGAGTATAACTCCTAATCGGCGAGATACCCAACGAGCACAGAATACTTTTTCCCGGTTGCCAAGCTCTCGGCGGGCTGGATCCACGTGTACTTCAGGGATCCCCTCAGAGTGTAGCTGATCCACGCGGGAATCCCCGCTTGAATCCCGGCAACTAGAGCGGCGGCCACGTCCGGAGCCTCCGCTTGCTGCAGACACGAAAGGAACCGGGTACACGCTTCGGACCGATCCGAGCAGCTCTTAGAAAGGCAGATTGAACTCAAGAAAGATAATAAGCCGAGATGAAAACAAGGTAACCAAATTGAAATGGGGGAGTTAGTCTGGTGGTTAGGGTGGGTGTGGGTGCGGAGCAGGTATCTTTTTGGGTTGAATTTCCTAGTGTTAGGCGAAGCTTATTATCATCTCTGGCTTATTATCATCTTTCTTGAGAAGTATAAAGAGCAGCGCCCTTTCACGTTGCTCAGAAAAGAAGATCTGAGTCCGCGAGATTTTGGCAGTGAATGAGTGAAACGACGGGAATGTCACGCTCCGGCCACTGAGCGTTGAATGAGTCAGTGGAGCCTCTTACGTTTTCGAGTCTGCTTACCTCTGGCAAAACCGGGTCAAGGACACTTTATCAGAAACGGCGAGAAAGGGTGGGGCTTTCTTAGTGCTTACGCGTCTCCCTTGCGACGAGGAGTCACTCGACCCTCATTTGGAAGCCTCGAATCGGACAAGCACATGTACGGCACCGGAACAGAACTTGGAAATTACCTGGAGCGTCTCGCCGCTTAAAGCTGGAAGGTCTTTCTTGCAACAAATTTAATGTAGATCGAAATGCGGAGGAGCAGACGAATCGGACGGAAGCAGGACAACGAAGACCGGAACTTACCTGGGGCGTCTTGGCGGCCTTGGAGAAGTCCGCTCTGTGCGCCATGGAAAGGCCGGATTGGCTTTTGAACCGAGATTTTGAACCACGGAAGGGGAAAACAACCGGAACGGATCCAAATGGAACTTTTCTGGCGGAGCCTTGGGAGGTTTTGAGAGAAATTTTGCCATGGGAGCGTGCGTCGTGACCCTGACCAGAGAGGAGCGAAGACAAACCGGAACGGAACCGGAACGGAACTCACCTCAGGTGTCTTGCCGGCCTTGGAGAAGTCCGCCCCGTGCGCCACGGAAACGTAGCCCGAGGCCGGATCGGCGTCCCGCACAACGACGTAAAAGCCGCCAGGAATTACGCCCGGAAAGACCTGCTTGTTTGTGGCGTCGAACAAGGGCTGCGCTGAGCCAGGCGCGAACTTGATCTTCTCCCCGAAGTACGTCGCGAGAGTGTAGGCCGCGATGGGGTTGCACGCCGTGTAAGCCGCATAAGTACACTGGGCGATCTCCGTATAGCCCTGCAGAAGACGGATATAAATTATGGGTCGTTGGATGGGCACCACGTGGCCTTGCGGGATGGAGAATATGGTGGCACGTTTACAGCAATGGGTTTGCACGGGTTTGAGTCGCATAAGTGCACTGAGCGATCTCCGTATAGCCCTGCAGAAAAGGGACATACGCTGCTGACAAGGGGCAAAGGGGAGGCGCTGAGGAATGAAACGGTCATTGGATGGGCGCCACGTGGCCCTACGGGTGGAGAGCATGGTGCCATACTTATGCAGTTGCGAGTGCCCCCAGATGTGTCTGTAAGGAAAGAGCGCAATGGAGAGCCTTAAAAAGGCAAAGAAGGAGGCTCTTTGGCGACCAGCGAGCGGAGAGACCACGGATTCGGTCGCTCGCCACGTCCTGCAAACAGAGGGTACACGCGACGTGGCTGCTCCGCGAGTAATGCTCAGATTATCCCGGAGGAAACACCGCGGATGGGTGCTTGTTACTTTGCTTGGACCTAACCTGAGCGGAAAAACTTCCATTGGAATCAGAAAGACTTCTCCTGACGTACTCCGAACGGCTTGAAATAGGTGACAAACGAGACCGATCGGGCAAGCTCGCAAGGAGCACTTTACTCAAGTGGGAGACATTCGCTGCCCAAGCTAAACTTCGCACACCCTCTTTGCTCGTGGATTACGTGTCTTGTCCCAAACGAAAGCTCAAAACACTTGCCTCCTGCAGAGAGCTTCGGAAAACATGTGCTTTTTCAAAATGAGGGCCTCGATAAACAACGAGAGTCGGAAGAACGAGGACTTACAGAGGCGACGATGGATCCGTCCGGCAGTAGTGGTCCAACGTAGGCCTTCTTGAGAGAGAGAGGATTGCCGTTCCTGAAGAGATATTGGGTCAGCCCCCCCCCCGCCGCGGCGATCCCCTGGTACACTTGCAGCCTGTTGGGATACGAAGGGATCCCCACGTCTTCGAAAGCCTCGTCGAAGTACATCCCGAGAGAGGACAGGTTCGCGTGCGCGACGCGGCGCCAACTGGCGCCATTGACGAACGGGTAGAAGCCGTTGAACTGCCACTTAGGGCTCTTGGAATTGATCTCTGCGTAAACCTGTGCGGGGAGGGTGCGTCGGGCTGTTAATAGTGAATCGAGACCCGTTTTTAAGACCACTTGTCAAAACATGAAGGAAAGGACCCGCGGGGTTCTTGACCAGTATCAATCTTCAAATGCGTCGGGGTCAGTTCAAGAGCGCTTTTGGGCTTTGATGAAGGGACTTTTCAGTCAGTCTTTGAATTATTTCAAGATCAGTCTTCATCCGGGTCCTGAGTAACCGCGCGAGGTCAGGGTGCAACGTCACAGAGGTCTGTGTAGGTTTTGCACATCATTCTGTGAACCTTCTGTGAACATTCTGTAAACCTCTCAGGAAGTGTTCACGTGTCCCAAGTGTTTCTTTCCGAGGTTCTGAAATTTCTTTATAAAATTTACGTGGATGTGAGCCAAAGAATTGATCAAAGAACCAACTTACAACAAAGCACGTCCCAAGTTGTGAGAAGAATGTACCTTCTTCCTGTATGTTCATGTTGTGATGAGTTCCAAGTTGTGATACGAGAAAAGAGAAGCTGACAAGGGCATATGCATGTAACGATACACGGTCCCACCTTCAAGCAACTTCCAATGGGCGCCAGATCCATGACACCAGACGCACGACATCCTCACAAATGAGAGCTCACCAGACAAACAATGCTACATTCGAAAGATCAATTTGGCTCAGGAAGGGAGGCTTTTTCTTGTATTGTCCCAGCTAACAGCTCTGTTCCTTCAGACTGCCCGGAAGATTTCGAGCAGCAGAAGACGAGACTTCAAAAGCAGCAAAGACTGCACAATCCAAGCTCTCAACCTGCTCAGCTTACGTCCTTAGCGTCGGTGCCTGACTGGATCTCCCGAACGACTGCGAGCACCAGGTTTTGGACGGTCGCATATTCGCAGCCAGTTTCTTTGGGAGGGTCCGCAATGCACGTTGACTGGGCTTGGGCGCCAATCTGCATTTGGAAAGGAGTTTCAAAGTGGTCAATAGCGGGTCTGATTGGCTAATGCTGCTTCTCTTGTTCTTGGCATTGTCTTTGATTTCTCAGTGCTTCTGCAGGAATTCTGCGGGCCGGTCCTAAAAGGTTGATGACAGGTGGGGAACAACATAAGCAGCAGCTGCCGGCAGTGGCGTATCAGTTTTGGAGTCTTTGGACTTTGAATCGCAAATTCAAGACTCACTCAACATGCTTCAGTCATGCCGTTTACTTTGAAGCCGACAGGGCCAGAATGTGTGAGGACTGCGCAGAAGAATTGGAAAGAGGATTCACATGCCAAAACCAGCTAGCAGAGATAGTTGCAGAGTGGAAGAATTTTGAGAAGCTTCTTAGATTGAACACACTGTCAAACTTTTCAGTGGGCCGCCAGAGGAGCTCTGCAAGCTGGAAGAAAATCCCATCGTCAATGCAATGGGGCTAATCGCCCAGCAAGAAACGGAGTATGTGTTTAAATTCTACGCTTATACACTTTAGCAATGTCAAAGCAGCATTGCACGGGCAAGCAGCATTGAATGAGAGACAGAGAGAAGCAAAGTCAGCAACCAATTTGCACTGGCACAGGAGACATATTGAAGCAGCAGACCCTATTTTGCCGTAGCTCACCAGCACGCATGCGGCCAGTGCCGCGACAAGTAAAAGAGCCCAGGCAGGACGGCAAAGCGGCGCCATCGTGAAATCTCAGTACGTTATTAGGAATCAGGGATCCTTCTCTCTCCGGAGAAGCGCAGCCAGACCGATCGACGCTGAATGGTGTACGTACTGGGGGGGTACCGTATGGCAAACTGTACAGTGTACGGTACATACTAAGTACAGTGTACACTGCAGTGTACGGGGGGGGCAGCTGGCGGCGATCGGCCCGGCAGCCGCCATGTTGTTCGCCAATCATTGAATTAATTGGGCCCCGGCGGGCGGCGGCCGCCGGCCGCGCCCTTGGCCGCCCGGCCGCAAGCAGGCCGCGCCCGCTTCAGGCCCGCGGGGGCCGCAGCGCTCCGCTCTGCCGCTCGCAGCCCGTTTGATTCCAGAGGAGTGCAGGGATACGCTTGAGTCGTGAAGGTTATGATCAGTCAGGTTTAAACACTTCAGAAACGTTAAATACCGGTTTGTATCCGGATTTTATCCTCTGCATGTTGCAATATGCCGTCGCTTGAGTCTCACTGCACTTTTGATTTCCGGCGGCTCAATCATACTGACAGCTGAAATAAGTCGTTTACCAAACGGGCCCCCGCAAAAAGGCACCAGGACCTATTGAGCCCGGTATCGCGTTTAGCAGAGCGGGTTGCGCGCGTTGTTGCTTTGCTGTCGGTTGCAGAGTCGATCCTCAGAGCCAAGAACGCAAACGTCTGTCTCAAGGAACGGCCAGCCGCGGGACTCTGGATTGAAGATCACATTCATGTTTACAAATGAAGATCGGTGCACTCAGGGGCTGTCCAAGTATTGACGAGATTGTGCGGGCCGCGGAACCCCGTGTTGAACTGCCGATGAGCCTGACGGTGCGACAGAAACGTGAGATTTTTTGGCAACAACACACGAGACGAGGCAGCAAAGATACCATGGTGGGTCGACTTTCTAAAACTCAGAGGACACTCTGTAGCGCCCACGTAGCGGCGCTTTCTTGATGTAACGAAGTGAAATTCAATATGTCTTGCACGATCAGAATGAGGCTTTGCCTCTCACACGATAAGGGCAGTACAGCAAACCAGTACTGGTCACGTCTACGAAGTATACCAGAACGAGTTTCAGGTAACTGGAAAATTGACCCGGCTGTTCCCGTGTTCCGGGGCTGCTTGACGCCCAAATCTGATCATAAGTTGGACATATAACCACTCTCTAACCAGCCCATAACCAGCGCATATAACCATCCATTATGACTAAGGGCCAAAAACTCCGGTGTATCTCCATGCGCAAGCTCGTCCCGGGCTTGCGGGATTCGTGGGGTATCGTACCCTCTCCTCACTTCAGACCGATTCGTGATGTGATTGGGTCATAAAACTGTATACTCGTAGTTCAAGAGGGAGACGGAGATAGAGGGCAACCTGCAGGTGTAAAGACGTGAAGCGCATACCAGCTCTTTCAGTAAGGCCAAAGGCTAACCGTCCCAGAACGAGACGACCCCGCAAATTATACAGAGGAACCTCAAAGGCGATACTATTGACGAGCAACGAGAATGGAGTCGGGGGAGAAGCATTTGCGCGTTCTCATGAACACTTTCGTGAGCCCTCATCAGCCG